ATCACATCACAACATAAAACAGCGGGCGCTAGTGTTTTCCGTGGTGCAGACCAGCATCCACCACCAAGCGTGATTGCACTTAAGAGTGCTTCACACCCGACGCGCTTTACAAAAAATATAACCGGCTAAAGTACAGACGACCGTATTAACCCATTAAGGTCTGTAATTCGGCGGCCGCCGTCAAAATAATTCCCGTTTCCCTTTCAAGCCTGGGTTAACAACAGTGTTTACTGTTTGCTCACCTGCGGTCTGCCCTTTGCTCGCTCGTTAACTCACCTGTTCTAAGTAGACACGTGTAAAGATTACGTCGTGCGCGCGCGCTTGTTTGACTGGCGAATTTTCGGAGTTTCCCGCTGGTGTTCATTTAGAAACACCCCGTTCTTAAAGGCGCGTCGCAGTGGGCGACGGCGACTGGGCAATTAGCTGGAGGAATTTTCTTTCGGGCTGAATTTGATGGGTAGAGTCGGTATGCTGGTTCATCAAGGGGGAACGATAATTGGCAAAAGTTAAGCTAAACATCAAGCTATTGTTGCTGTAACTACACCGACTGCAAAGGTTTGGTGCGACGCCAGCTGAAAAGTTCCCCCGCTTTGCTGTAACCCCGTAGTAAGCTAAAACAACATTAAAAGTCTCTTTCGGTATAACAACCACCACACTAAGAAAGTGTATCTTGCTAACCGTATCTTTCCAATTTACCATCCCCCTCACAAATCCATTTAAATTTCACAGCAATCAAAATCTCATTACTCTACCCTAATTATTGATTTCTAGCCCCCACACAAACATTCCCACTAGTAATTCGATGTAATTTTTAAAATACTGTAACTATTCAGTGATCGATCTTTCACCTACTTTGAACAGAGCATTTGTCCCTGATTTAAAAAAAAAAAAAAAAAAAAAAAAAAAAAAAAAAAAACCTATGCAGAATTAAGGGCAAAAAAAGGCTAGTCGTAGAAAGGGAGATCACTGGTATAAAAACCTTTTTGAACTTCCTGTTAGTATTTTTACATTAACTTAAAATCTTAAAACTCTTTGAATCTGTTTTTTTTTTGTATTAACAGAAGTTTCAGTTAAAATAAATAAAAAAAGTAAAACGACTTGGTCATTTATTATAATTATATGTCTAGAAAAACGTCATAGTCGTCTTTTTCCACTCTCGCCCAATACACACGGGCAGATGAAGTAGAGCTGATCTGTTTTCCAAGTCTTCTTTAAAAATAACATGATGTATTCTTTTAATTTCTTTTCATAACGTTTTATTTGCAAGTGAGTGAATCAGCGATTACTTATCAGCTACACAATTTTTATTCTTTTTAATCGGCGATAGTATATTTCATCTTCATAATAGTGCTGTTCATATTCAATTGTGGTGGTTATGTTTTATGTTAGTGTGTGTATGGGAGGGATGAGGGTGTTAACTCTGTGTATGTGTGCGCGTGAGCGTGTGTGTGTAATGAATGAGTAGTCAGAATTTTTTTCAGACTCTACTTCAAGCAGACAAAAAACTGTACACATCATTTCGCTAGTACAGACAGATATGAGATGTACACTCATGGTGTCAATACATGTGCGCTCCTGGTATCCGATCATGTATGCTCCAGGTGCCCCATCATGTACGGTCCTTATGCCCCCTTGTACACTTCTGGTGCCCCAGCATGTACGGTCCTTATGCCCCCTTGTACGCTCCTGGTGCCCCATCAAGTACGCTCCTGGTGCCCCATCATGTACGGTCCTTATGCCCCATCATGTACGGTCCTTATGCCCCCTTGTACGCTCCTGGTGCCACATCAAGTACGCTCCTGGTGCCCCAGCATGTACGGTCCTTATGCCCCATCATGTACGGTCCTTATGCCCCCTTGTACGCTCCTGGTGCCACATCAAGTACGCTCCTGGTGCCCCAGCATGTACGGTCCTTATGCCCCATCATGTACGGTCCTTATGCCCCCTTGTACGCTCCTGGTGCCACATCATATACGGTCCTTATGCCCCCTTGTACGCTCCTGGTGCCCCATCATGTACGGTCCTTATGCCCCTTGTACGCTCCTGGTTCCCCATCACGTACAGTCCTTATGCCCCCTTGTACGCTCCTGGTGCCCCATCATGTACGCTCCTGGTGCCCCAGCATGTACGGTCCTGGTGCCCCATCATGTACGGTCCTTATGCCCCCTTGTACGCTCCTGGTGCCCCATCATGTACGGTCCTTATGCCCCTTTGTACGCTCCTGGTACCCATCATGTACGCTCCTGGTGCCCCATCATGTACGGTCCTTATGCCCCCTTGTACGCTCCTGGTGCCCCATCATGTACGGTCCTTATGCCCCTTGTACGCTCCTGGTTCCCCATCACGTACGGTCCTTATGCCCCCTTGTACGCTCCTGGTGCCCCATCATGTACGGTCCTTATGCCCCTTTGTACGCTCCTGGTACCCATCATGTACGCTCCTGGTGCCCCATCATGTACGGTCCTTATGCCCGCGTGTACGCTCCTGGTGCCCCATCATGTACGGTCCTTATGCCCCTTTGTACGCTCCTGGTACCCATCATGTACGCTCCTGGTGCCCCATCATGTACGGTCCTTATGCCCGCGTGTACGCTCCTGGTGCCCCATCATGTACGGTCCTTATGCCCGCGTGTACGCTCCTGGTGCCCCAGCATGTACGGTCCTGGTGCCCCGGCATATACGGTCCTGGTGCCCCATCATGTACGGTCCTTATGCCCTCGTGTACGCTCCTGGTGCCCCAGCATGTACGGTCCTTATGCCCTCGTGTACGCTCCTGGTGCCCCATCCTGTACGCTCCTGGTGCCCCACCTATCTAGAATCTCCAAACTGCCTTATATTCTTACGTTCAACAATCTCCAGTATTTAAATAAAAAAAATAACTACCTGCTAGATCAACATTTCCAAGTTTTTGTTCCATTCCTTAACTGTTGTTTTTGTATGTACTATATAGACAATCTCCAAACATTGCCAAGACTAGCTACAAGTACATCCATCGTGTCTCTAAAGTTTACAAAAATTGTTGTGTCAATAGTCTGTCAGTTCCACGAACCACCTCTCTAGAATCTCCAGGAATTCTAAACCAGACCTGACCAGCAATGCACAAGTGCTCACTCCAACCTCGCGGCCGTGATGCATCGAAAAATAATTCAGCAGCACTTTTAGTGCCCCGAATGTCATGGTCGTTGTATCTCAGCATTCGTCATGAATAGGCGGATTATATTCCTTTGATGGGGAGCAAAGTGGGCAGATTATATTCACCTGAAGTAGCCAAAAGTGGGCAGATTATATACTCATGACTGAGCGAAAATTTGGTACATTATACACACATGACAAAGCGAAAAAAAGGAAGATAAAACCCTGTGGCCTAGAGAGTATTATATCAAACGGGGTGTATAACTCATAATTTTTTTTTTCAATTGTAGTTTTATAATATTCGAAATTTCGGAGACTGAAAATATTGAAAGTCACGTGAGCGAGCCGGCGTTGTCATTTACGGGTTCATGATGGGGTGGGGGAAGTAATTACCCACCACCACCCCACTTCCAAACACCACTGTCATTCCTGGATTCATTTTTTCAATCTAAATCGGAAAATTGTAGTTTTATTCCAATCCATGTTTTTACATGTGGAGTTTTTTCTTCTTCCGTCAGGAGTACTTTTATTTTGTTTTCTTAATAATAATTATAATTTGTAATTAGAAATGAGTTTCATTCATGATTAAACTCTGAATACAACACAGTCTTAAAAATGTTACAGGTTGGCTTTAAATTATCGTGAACCGTAAATGATAGATTTTTTTTTACGGTGAGATTTTTTTTGTATGTTTACTCGGTCGTACTTTAGCAAGTTAATTATATATTTTTATGTCCGGCTTAGAAAAAATTCACTGTGTTATCAGTTAGCCAGTTAACCAGTGGTTAGCCAGTGGTTAGCCACCCAGTGATGTCTTAAAAAATGATCCGGTGTGGATGTCCTTACAAACCAACTATAACAAAAACCACAATTTTCACTGCTAATTAAAAGCATTCTGTTTAAAATTACTTTTCAGTGTTTTTTTTTTCTTTTTTTTTTTAAAACATTTTCTAATCATAATAAACAGCGGTAGAATGAAAAGTTTAATTAGCGAAATGATTTTGTTTGAAACGAAACAAACCAATTTTTTTTTACAATCTGTATCATGCAGGTTTTATTTTGAAACTATTTCAATGTTTTCTTTCAGAAATAAATAACATCTACAAGAAATGATTAACCTAGTATTTTGCTTCATGCGAATTTAAAACAAAAAACGTTATTAACTTCATTATTATCCACACAGGAATAATGAGCTAATATCCGCACGTGTACGTTAAGGGGGTGAGTAGTTAAAGTACAGGGAGAGAAATGTTGGTTTTATTTTACAGACATGAGCGGCGTGGATACAAGGAGTCCAGACGATAGGTTGGCGGAGTTTTTGAAATTTTTTTTTACTGCGACTGATTGCGACTTTCTGCTCTGCTGTCCGTGTTACGTAACTTTAAGCTCGTGAGCTGTGATAGGCGCGTGAAGTAAACGTTGAGCTCGTCAAACTATCGTTTACCTGATAGTTTTTTTTAAATATCATCTGTTCAATTATCGACGATAAACTCTCTGCCCCTAATAGCCGTCACTAATTCGACCCGGCTCTACGATTGTAAACATTTAGTGTTAACCACAGCTCACAGACTGGTGAGGTTGGGGGTGGTAGCGATATGCCTAGGGAGCGGGGGAGTAACGGCGTGTGTTTACGTGGTGTCTCGCAAGGTCCTTCATGAAGAAAATTGTATATATATATATATATATATATATATATATATATATATATATATATATATATATATATATATATATATATATATATATATATATGTTTTGAACAATTGGTCACGCAAGTTCTTGTTAATAAAACCTGCATTTTTATTTTTTTGTTTCTCCATAGAAAATGACGTGACCGCACGTGGTTTAATACTTTCATTAAAGATCAACCATGGTACTTTACTCTGACTGTTGGCACTCTAACTCACAAAGTCAAGGACAAACGAGAGAATCTTAGAACCCCAACAACAAAAACAAAAGTACAACTCCAATATCTGGTGAATTAACAAACCAACCATGGCAAGCCTCGACGCCACGTCTCTCTCACTCTCAGACGACTTCGATCTCGCCCCGACCCTAGAGCTCGCCTTCCCCGCTAACACCTCTACCAACACCACCAACGACAGCTACAGCGTGCTCAACACCACCGACCCGCAGTACTTCTCCACCCCCGGGGCGATTTTCATCCAGGGTCTGTTCATCCTCCTGTCGGCCATCGTACTTGTCATCGGTCTCGTCGGCAACTGTCTCGTCTGCTTCGCCGTCTGGCGAAACCCCCGGATGAGGAGCGCCACTAATATCTTTTTGGTCAACTTGGCCGTGGCGGATTTCCTGGTCATCTTGATCTGCCTGCCGCCCACCATCACGGAGGACATTACACAGAACTGGTACCTGGGCAAGGAGATGTGCAAGGTGGTCAAGTGTCTGCAGGTGAGTTCACACCTTAGTCTTGCCTGAATCTCTTACTTCTGACTTGTGAAAATCCTTTTTTTTATTCAAAGGTCATACCACAGTCTGACGTGATTATTACACACACACACACATACGAAAGCACGCGTACACGCTCGCACTCACCCAAGCGTACATGCAAAAATACGCATCGCACATGCGGATACAAACACATACACACACATACCCACACTAGAAACGCACACACGCGCACTCGCACGCACTCACACACGTAAAGAAACACACACCACAAGCAGTCGTATGAAACAATGTATCCTTGAAATTCACTACCAATGACAGAGATACAACAGTTACCCTGTCTAGGCTGTCTACATGTCATGAGCCAGCTTATATAGTTTGCAGCGTCTAGATGACATCAATGTTACTTATAACACAACGTCCACTTAAAAGTTTATCATCATTTCGGACATTATCAACATCGCCCCGGACAATATGACTAGTAAAGAAAGTGTGGTAGGAGAAAACATTAAATGTTTCGATCTTCTCCCTCCCTCCCTACCCCCTCCCCGGGGGGGGGGCGATGTTATCAGTTTATTGCATTACAATAGAGGCTACATGTCTGCTAATGAAATTCAATAAATTGACGTTCCAAATGGATGTCGTATCGGACATGTTTTGGCCTGTTTGGGCGAGTCTATGAGCTAGGGGTGGAGGTGTGGAAGATACTGGTAGGTGTTTGTGGGTTTTGTTGTCCTTAGAAAATTTTCCAATATTGATGACTTTTTTTTCATGGCTTAGGTCGATGAAAAAGAAGCGTCAATAAAATTTAATAACTGCTAGTTAGAGGCGTCGCTGGGCCGGGCGTTGCGTTAGCCGGTGCGATCCGCACCTCTCTCTCCCACCCCGCCCCAATTCAGTGACCCTATTGCCTATATTATTATTTGGCGCACTTGTTCAGACTGTGTAGGATCGCACTTTATGTAGCGAAATTGTTGAGATACACAGACTGTAGAATCGCACTTTATGTAGCGAAATTATTGAGATACACAGAGAGACTTTAACTTAGATCATAAATTTCATACTGTAAAAGTTGGCCATTTAGTCGAAACTCTTTGTCACACTGTGTCCAACTCTGGGTTATACAGGTCAGCGTCTAAACATAGGCATCACTGATCATATTCTAGGCACTAGAGATTAGGATCTAGGCTATACAGAGTAGGATCTAGGCCATACATATCATACAATTAATACAATAGACCATACAGATCAATTCTATAAACATAGGCCAAGGCTGATGATACCCAGGGCTACATCATTAAAATTAGACCATACGGCTCCAGCCTAAGACCAGAGAAAAATCGAAGCTGTAGAACAACACTCCCTTTACCCCGTTACACAAGTAATTCAATTACATTGGCTGTGTGATATTTTTTTTATTCAACCACAACACCCTCAACAACACAGTAGTTACATATAACTCTTCTGTGTTTTGTGCTTAACTTAACTTGCTCTTCTCTTGTGAGTGGTTTCATCACCATCTTAAGCACTCGTTTTTCTTTTTCTTGATATCAGATTGTTAGAAAAATCAACAAATAATTCAAATTCTTATAATACGAAGCACAAAGCATCCTCCAATTAAATTTTAAAACTATTTTGTGTTAGTAAGAAGTGAAATCTTGACGTTTATATTAATCGTTTTTTGAATGATAAATAAATATAACTACTTTTTTCTGTTTAAAACAATATGCAGTTATGGTGTCTTTGTATAGGGTAGATGTAAAAAAAAATAATTAATGAGGATGGTTGTAGGTAAGGCAAGATGGGTGTGCCTGTTTGTCTTACTTTAAAGAAGTGCATTCATTACTCTTATTTCTTGCACATTTTAGACACCGTTGTACACGCTGCCAAAAGTTTGATTTTCATTTTTGACTCCATTTAAAAGCTTATGATTATAATAAAGGTTTTCTAAATAGTTGTTTTACTTTCTAGTCTTAACAACATAATCCAAACACACACACACGCTCACAGACACATACATACATAACTACACACACACACACACACACACACACACACACTCACACAAACAGCTCAAGGTTCCATTAAACAGCTCTCCTTTTCTCTAATTTCACTTAAGCAGGTCCTTAAATAGAAAATGTGTGTCACCCTCCCCATTCCCTGTCTCGTCCAACCAACCGCTCTCCCATCCACCCACCCTCCCACCCACCCACTCTTCCACTCATCCACCCACCCACCCACTCTCTCCCCCCACCCCCACCCACCCTCGTCCACCCACTTTTCCTTACGAAAAAAAAATCCGTGCCAATTCCAGAAAAAAAAAATCGAGTTCGCCCAAACTGACACCACCTTTTGATGTGTCCACATTATTTGCTGAATTCATTTAATTGTCGTCACATTAAGAACCCGATATTAAAAAAAAAACTAACCCAAAGAATTTAAAAATTCAGCCTTATCGAATGCCTAGTGGGTTAATCTAATTTGGAATTTTAAAAATCTTACTCAAGTATTGGAATATGAGGTGTTAGAGATTTTTTAAATGAAAATATTGGCTGAGAGCATTTGCGTTTATGGTTTGTTTCGGCTACAATTACGAATATATTTAATTGCTTCTTTTTTCTGAGGTAAAATATATCTATGACAAAAATTTCTGATAAAAAATCTTTGACAACACTTGTATGAAAAAAATACCATGACAATTTCTGAGGAATAAAAATATTAATGACAAAATTTCTGAGAAAAAAATGTCTATGATTAAAAATTCTGAAAAAAAAACCTACGACAATAAATCTCAGACAACATTAATCAAGACAAAATTATTCGAGAAAAAAACAACAACTCGTAACAATATTTTGTTACATATATTTAAAAAAAAAATATCAGTATAAAAAATTATTCTATTAGAAATTGATGACATCTCCTGTTGTATGGCTCTTTTGTGTCGTGCAATTTGATTTGGTGCTATGATTGAAGCAGTAATGCATTACAAAATTATGTAACTACGTACCAAATCTGCATAAAGGTAATCTTTCTATACGTGTGATAAAATAGAGTTGTGTATTAAAATAGAAAGAAGAACTTGAAGGCACTGAAGAAGATAACTGATAAAAATGCGTATGAGTGGTTGTGTGTTTATAGATCCGGGGGGTGGGTGGGGTTGATTCAGGTTAGGGGTCGGTGGTCGATTGAGTTTGGGGCGGGATCGAGACCGCTTAGGGATCGGGGTTAATTGAGTTGAGGGGTTGGGTCGGTGGTCGATTGAGTTTAGGGGTCAGAAATCGATTGGGTTTAGGGGTCAGGGGTCGATTGGGTTTAGGGGTCAGGGGTTGATTGAGTTAGAGGTCACGACTTCATAACTAAGAACGGAAGTTGAAATAAGATTCGGTAGAGTTTCTCCATGGTACGAACAATACGTAACTTGCGTAATCAATCGGTGAGGTAATGTCCGAGTGTCCAACGTCCCCCTCCCCCTTTGGTTCTTTCTGTTTCCTGTCCTTCGTCCTTGACCAACATAATCTGGTAAGATTGATTACGGTCATTAGACGGTCATACAGGGGATGGTCAAATTGGCTGAGAGGCCGGGCCCACTTAAACGTATGTGTCAATTTGACCACGGGGTCCCTCGGGCTAAGGCTTTAAAGGAAGCTGTGAAAATCTTTGCCACTGGTAGGTCATGCTGGCTGTGACTGCACTCTGGATTCAAAGCACTAGGGGTCATAATGGCGTAGGCGTAGGTTGGGATATAATTAATAAAGTCACAATGTCGGAGACTGAAGTTTGTATACAAAGTACTAGAAGGTCATATTGTACCAAGTATGAATTAATTTACGGAAGTAAACGTTTTTAAGTTCTGTTTACGCCACAGTTAGGCGTAGAAGTCTGCATTCTTTGAAAACGTCAAAAGTTCGTTGAAGAGAGTTGTCGTGAAGTACAGTATTACAGAAGACTGCGTATATTTTTTCTTTCCAACTTATGCTGGGTACTGTTCCTAACTGCGCGGGCTCACAAACGTCCAATGGTCCCAGGCAACACATTCTTGGCTTGTCAAAGTTTAAGAACATCAACGTACATTTCTTAAAAAGGCTCAGATCTTCATTCCACGAATAGACTTTAAACGAAACAAAATACCAATTAATTTTTAAAAAATCTAATGGCAATAAAACAAAACAAACACAAGAACTACCCATACATTTTCTTCTTCGTGATGTTTTTAAAGTAAACTCTGGCATTTAATCATTCCAAAATCTGCCAGCTTAATTATTTTGTTTATTTAAAACAACTAATTATCTTTTGTATGACTGGCCATAGCAAAGCTGCGTGGGCAAAACTTATTCATTAGGATTTCCGTGAACTTTTATACCAACCGTGACATCATGCCGCGCACGATAAAAACAACATCCAACAGTTGAAAGCCCCGTCTCCTTAAGCTATTAAATTATCGATGTTCATTGACTAGTGCAGCTTTTGTCGTTGAAGAAAGTTTGAAAACGTGTGGAGCCATCGTTGTCAGATGTCTATAACTACGGCACTAATGTCTTTAGGCAACTGGTGATTTTCTTCTGGAAGGGTGTTGTGTCGTCTTGGTTAGGGATGATGTTGATATGGGACTAGTTGTTCTAAATCTTATGTTTCTCAATGCCATGGTTCTAAATCTCATGTTTCTCAACATTGACTCTGCCAATATACCTTGACGCTGACTCTCCCAATGTACCTTGACGCTGACTCTGCCAATGTACCGTGACGCTGACTCTGCCAATGTACCGTGACGCTGACTCTGCCAGTGTACCGTGACGCTGACTCTGCCAATGTACCTTGTCGTTATCAATCAGATTGTGTACGTGGTAACCTATTAACTACATCCGACGACTTGGAATCGATTTCAACGGCTTAGTATCGAATTCAGTCTGGTATCGATTCAAGGATTATCGTTGACATAAATTTAAGCCACGCTCTCAAAATTAAATCGCCCTGACGGTATTGAATGATTGATTTTTTTCCCCCAT